GAACCAGTCTTAATCAATATTGTAGATCCAAAGTCATGATCAATAAATAAATAAATAATAATAATAAAAGTATATTAGTAAATATTTTAAAGGCAAAACTAATAATCTCAGTACGAGTACTAAAAAACCGACCTCAAAAGTACGTGGACTCACACCTGTTTACCAAGTTTTATTTAAATCGGTTATCGGAAAGTGCGCAAACCCGGATTCATCCCCTAGTTCGTCACTATACGGGACTTGACACAGGAGATAATAAAAATTGATTCTCACTACTCAAAGTATATTGAGAGAAAAACGCCTTGAATTGGAGAATAGCAAAATCAACATTAAAATAATTGCTCCTTATAATAAAATTTGGGTGCTATTTATAAAAATGAATCTTCGTGCGTGAACAGCCACCCTTAGAGGTGGATGATTTTCTTCAAAATTAAATGGGACCACTATGGATGTACCCTTTTTCCAACAAAAAAAGAATCATGAAAATCGGTTCACATAAACCGGAGCTATCGCGTAACATACATATAAAAAACTGTATACAGTCTAATTGAGAACCCCTCCTTTTTTGAAGTCGGTTAAAAAGAAGACAAGATACAGAGAGAAATTTAAAGAAGTTCACTGGAGTCGTGGTAAGAAATATCTATTATGTACTATATTTTCTAGAAATGTAGTTTCTGCCTACCCCATTGCACGGTGGAAGGCGACACGCCTGTCCACAGCAGTTGCAGTGCCATTCAGAGCTTTAAAACACAAAGATCTGAGGGGCACTGCCATCGCACCCGTCACACTGAGGCATAAGTTGACAAGTCCCATGTGCCTGCAATTTCTCCAGCACCCATACCCATTAAAACCGGAATGCAAACATAACTTGGCGGCAGAAATAGGTAAGATGGCAGTACAGTGCTTCTTTTCAATGTCCCTCGGCAATCATCGGATTTTCGAATGCACACGAATATTAATTTCCATGCTTATTAAAATTATTAGATTGAAAATCTATAATAATTTGAATTTTGAGCAACGCTCTTTGTTTTATGTAGATTTCTGAGGCAAAAGTCAAATTCATGTAGGCTAGTTTTAGTAGTAGGTTAATTTTCGGTTTTAGTGAATATTTATATAAAAATACAAGTTGAAACGCGTTACTTCCTTGTGGAATGTGATGTTAGTATCTATTTTATGTTTGTCTGACGTATTTTTAACCGATTTTAAAAAGGAGGAGGTTCTCAATTCGACTGTATGTTTTTTTTTTTTGTATGTATGTTACGCGATAACTCCGGTATTTGTGAACCGATTTTCATGATTCTTTTTTGTTGGAAAGGGGGTACTTCCATAGTGGTCCCATTTCATTTTGAAGGAAATCATCCACCTCTAAGGGTGGCTGTTCACGCATGAAGATTCATTTTTATAAATAGCGCCTAACTTTAATTTAGGAGCAATTGCTCTTAGCAATTATTTAGCTGATTTTGCTATTTCTCCAATTCAAGGCATTTTTCTCTCAATATACTTTGAGTAGTGTCGTAGTGAGAACCTATTTTTATTATCTCCAGTATCAAGTCCTGTATAGTGGCGAACTAGGGGATATTTCAATGAAACTTAGCAAATAGACGTAATTCCACGTACTTTTGAGGTCGTTTTTTTTAGTACTCTGTACTGAGATTATTACACTCATTTACAGCACATTTCGTCATTTGTAGCTAAAATTCTTGATCTGTTTGCGGTGCAAGTTGACCTTGAGCACTGAAGGCCCACGTGTAGGCCCTTTTGGAGCGCTTCAATTTGCCTCACTTAGCGTGTGCGGACTAGGTTTCTATGCGTTATTATTCTAAGTGTAAAACTATGTCCCTATTTTTAATGACATTTACTCCAAGTCAATAACTTAACAAAAACATAAAATAAAGGAAAAGGAATTGACTTATATTTTTTATAATATTCTTTTAAAATGTTCTTTGCTGTTCCGATTGAAACGCCGCAAGCTACAGAAACACGTTCTTTTTGGAAATAACCATTGTTGCCTTCCTTGAACGTATCGGCTTCTTGTAAAAAATACAAGTACACGCTGCAAATTGTTTGCCGTACCTGTGACTTTAGCGGCTTTCTTTCCATTGGATAATAAATAAAAAATGTAATAGTAACTATATATACTTCCAAGTTGACTGAAAACGACCTGTACCAAAGGCCAGCTGAATAAAACCCGACGACAACCGAAATACGAAGCTTGCCGAGGGACATTGCCATAACAGAAGCACTGTACTTGCCTGGACGAACTCTCTCACAAGGAGATCTACTGCTACTAAATCATCTAGTCATATATTATTAAATCACATTCAGTTTGTCCAGAGAAGTCCAGCCTTCTTACGTACCTATTTCAGCCGCCAAGCGGTAATGTGAGCATTACTGCGTTCCGGTTTTGATGGGTAATGGTGCTGGTGAAATTATAGGCACATGGGACTTGCTAACGTATGTTTCAGGGTGACGGGCGCAGTGGCAGTGCCCATCAGATCTTTGTGATTTGAAGCTCTGAGTGGCACTGTACTGTTATGGATAGGCGTGTAGCCTACCACCAGGCACACGACTTAATCGTCCCGTCACATGATATTATATAACAAAGACAAAGCAATATGAAAAGAGATGAGATAACACACAGTAGATAAGAAATATGCTTTCTCGAATAATAGCGAAATAGGATCGATTTAGTACCGTCTGTACTGCTCACTCCAAATAAGAAATAGAATGGATAGTATTGCGTACCGCGTGAAACAATGGACCCAAAACCATTTTCTTAATGTACAGTCAACAGCACACCAATCTATTTTTGTTCGAACGTCGCCGCCAATACAACGGAACAAGATCCGTCAAGGTGTAGCTAGATGTGTTATCGTACATAACGGGTGCGTGTACAAAATACATCTATGTAAAGTTCTTCATGTCACGAATTAGTTGGGTAGAAACTACGGATTTCTGCATTACTTACCTTCCAATCTGGTTCAGTAGGGTTGTTTATCAAGTCCACATCGGCTGAAAAAGAAAAACAATTTTTCAATCTCATTCATATTTTCAATCTAACTGTAGTGCTGGTTACTCTTAGTTTTATTTTCATTACTCATTCCAATTTCCCATAGCCAATTCCCGATGTCCAATTCCCATTGCCTATTCCCAATTCCCAACATATTCCTATTTCTTATTAATTAAGCCATAGCATTTCAATAATCGTGTCTCGATGTGCAACCGTCTCACGCCGGCGCGTCGTGTGTTGTTCATAGTATAATGTCCTACGGGATTCTCATATGGTAAAGCGGCAGATATTAAAACCATATTTGTATTGCAAAAACGAGCGATTCGTTCTGTGTACCGTCTCGGCTCTCGGGTTTCTCTCAGAGAAAAGTTTAAGGAGACTGGTATCATGACTGTGGCATCAGTACATTTACTCAAATATTTTATATGCCCGTAAAAATATACATAATTTCAATAAGAAAGAAGATATCCATAATATTAACCTTAGAGCTAAGTCCAAACTCATGGTGCCACGATTTCATTTAACCAAGGTAAACAACTCTTTTATGGGGAACTGTATACGTTTTTACAATAAGATTCCGGAACATATATTAAGTTTATCATTTCCTATGTTTAAAAACTACATTAAAAATATTTTGATCGAAAAATCATATTACAAAATTGAAGGCTACGTGTTATCTAAATAATCGCAATTGTTTTCACTCCTTATTTAGAATAAATGTTTAATACTTACTAGGTAACCCAGTGTCGTACATATCATCGTCGTATCCATCGTCATCTTTACTGTGGTCTTTATCGTGGTCTTTATCGTCGTCATCTGAGGTATCAAATGTGTTTCGACCATCTTTACCTCTATCAGCATCCTTATACCTGCTGTCTAGCTCGTGAAGACTGTCGGTCATATATACTATTGTTTTTTGGAAGGTCACCATACAACTGTACAGGTATAAGAGGTAGTACGTGGTCGCGTACCTTGTATGGTTCCTGGAATGTAAATGTTGTGAATAATACTGGTTGTAGCACAACAGACGAAATATATTTCGGTAGGTTGCAACGATGTCTATGTACTAGCGAACTAGTTTCACTGATGTGCAGTGAAGACGCTGCACTACATTTAGTTGGTTGTCAAACATTCAAGATGGCTGACGCGGATTCGGTTCTCTTTAAAAATTTATTTACATCGGTGTGGTGCACACATTTCGCTGTTTGACTAATTATGCGAACATAAATCTAAAGTTTGGTTTTTGTGCATTACAATATTTGATTATCGCGAATTAATATACAAGATTTCACACTATCCATCTCGTTTTGCAAGCATGTAATGACGCGTGTTAAAACAAGACAAAACATAAATCATAGATTTATAAGCAACAGAGTGTTCTGACTATACAATAACAGAGAATATAACATAACATAACGGTTACTAATGTTACCATATAAATTAAAAAAATATAAAAATGACTAGGCTCAACGATATCTATGTACTCGACTAGGCTGCATGATCTAAAGGTCTTTGCCTTTCCGCAAGGAAAACTACAAAACATATTACAACAATTCGACTTAATCTTTTTTCGTTTACTTAATTTGTTCTGTGATTTTTTGTTTATTAATATATTAATTATAAATAGTAAGCGAAGGGCCCCTGGGTCAAGGCATAATGGAATGTTAATTCTCCATCTATGGATAAACATCATTGCTAAACACCACAGACCACATAATGGTAAACACTCAATATTAGCTGCCTGCCTAGCTCATTCCCAATAAGCTGTCACGTCTGTCCACAGTACTAGGGTACTGATACTCTTTGACAAAATTCAACATTAAAGACATTACCACGACCATTCTCACATTCTCTGTACGGTAGCCATTGGTTTTTCTCGCGTAATTTACCCAATAACATTGAAATAAAACAACTTTAAGCAAAGTCAAAGTCAAAGTCAAAGATTATTTATTCCATAGGTAAAATAAATTTACACTTGAAAACGTCACATTTAAGCTTAGCTATCATTATGTCTAAATGGCATTAGAATAGACAAAGTAGTTTTCGAGTTATTAATCAGATCTATTGCCGTAGCCATGGATACGGATTTCTAATAAATGTTAGAAAGTTCAAACATTTATAGGAAAAAACGACTTATTTCTTACATAGCTGAATTATTATTTGTATATTTTGCCACATTTAGTTTATTTCTACGGACACAAGCGCTATTCAAGATTTTAAAAATAAATTTTTCAAAAGATTTCGACCGTGTTGATCATGCAATATTGCTCTCTAAGTTATGTCATCTTGGTATTCACGGAAATCTTCATTACTGGGTCTCGTCTTACCTTATGAACCGTTCCGAACTGGTGGCCCTGAGTGGATTTGAGTCTATTCCATTCCATGCGCTATCAGGTGTGCCTCAAGGATCAAATCTTGGCCCTCTATTGTTAATAGCTTTCATTAATGACCTTTTGAGCATGATTCAGTGTGAATGTCTGGCATACGCTGACGACATCAAAACTTTTCTGTCGAATAAGTGACTTGAAGGATTGTTTGGCTCTTCAATTGAATCTTGACATTATAACAAAATGGTGTAACAACTGCATGGATCTCAATACAAAAAAGTGTCAGGTCATCACTTTCACCAAAAACAAGAAGCCATTGAATCACGCTTATAGTATTAACAGTGGTATATTGGCTCGTGTAACTGTTGTAAGGGACTCGGGTGTCATGTTTGATGCAGTACTTTCGTTTCGGCCCCATTACGACTTCTTATGCAATAAAGCACATAGGTTGTTATCTTTTGTCCTCCGTAACACTAAACCATTCCGAAATTAGGGCTAACCTTTTTCTCCGAAGCCCTTAAGGAATCGGTCATAAAACCAGTTTTTAAAAAAAGGTCTAAAAACCGACCCAAATAATTATCGACCTATCGCACTTTTACCCACTTCGTCTAAAATATTTGAAGCTGCTATGACAAAAAGACTCTATAATTTTTTCGAAAAATTCAATGTTTTAAATAACAATAAATATGGCTTCTGTAAAAAACGTAGTACTACTCTCGCGGTATACAGATATACCAAGAAAATATATACTAAATATGAATAAATATGCCATTGGTCTGCTTCCGGATTTAAGTAAAGCTTACCAAAGATAAACTCTATAGTATGGGAATAAGAGGAATTACACATAAGTGGTTCCAGTTGTATCTTTCAAATCAACTTCAATATGTTGAAATAGAAAATACCAACTTTGATTCAGGAAAAATCCAAAAACTCGATCAGATAAAATCAGCATAAAAAATTCAACTCCCCAGGGCAGTATTTGGGATGCGTACTATTTCTAACTTACATTAACGAATTGCCCAGGGTTATAAATTATCACTGCACTTAGGAAATGAAACTATTTTTCCGGATTTAAATCGCGTATATTTGTTTTTTCAAATAAACCGACGTTTCGGGCCCTTTACAGGTCCCATGGTCACGGTTGACTCGATCCTATGTGTAACAATCGCGAAAACCTAAGAACTCGATATATCACTGCACTGTTTTTGCTGACGATATTTCTACCTTATTTCCATGTACAAATGAAAGAAAGCTAAAAGAAAATCTGGACGAAATCCTGACAAAAGTCGTTTTTTTGCTAAAAGAGAACCAATTAGAATTAAATTTCAATAAAACTAAAATACTACAATTTAGACCATATCATACGGCACCTGCAATAAATACGAAATAAAAACAGAACACTCAACAACGCTGCTGGGAATTGAAATCGATACACAACTAAACTGGAAACCTCACCTCCAAAAATACTACAAACAAACTTACAAAGAAACTATCATCGTTTACTTATGCTTTATATAATCTTAAACGCGTAACTGATTTAAAAAGTGCTCTCACAGCCTACTACGCTTTTGTCCATTCGCGGTTTTCGTATGGGATTATCCTTTGGGGCAATAGTCCAAATGTCAAAGGAATATTCACCCTCCAGAAAAAATGTATACGAATTTTGTTTAACATAGACACGCTCGAGTCGTGCAGACCACATTTCATAAAATATGAAATTTTAACGCTGACGGCTATATATATATTTGAAAGTTGCAAATTTGTAAGAAACAATATACAATTTTACTCACCTTTCAAAACCATTAAACGTAATAATAGAAACGAAAATAAATTAAAGGTACCCCCAAACTACTCTATAACAATTTAGATCAAGACCACATTCGATGTTAATCAGAATTTATAATCATATATCAAATAGTATTAACAATTAAGAAAAGGTAACGGGCCCTCAGAATCAACTGAAAATATATCTTGCAAAAAAAAGCGTACTACGCAATAGAAGAATTTTTCTGTGATAATACAAAATAAAAATAATATCGAGAAAAATTTCTAATAATTAATAATTATATTTGTTACTAGTAACTATGTGGTCTGTGATATTTGTAATTCACTTAAGTTGACATTGTTATATTTAAATATCGTTATACGGGTATTATTTTTATTTTGTTTTAGATTTTGAATTACTTATACGTAATTATGACATTACTTTTGTTCTAAATTATTTGTATTTTTAAATTTGAATTTGAATTTTTTTTATTTATTAAATTTTTATTGAATTGATATTCAATTATTTTTTGTGAAATTAC